AGTGACAGCTAAACGTTTCTCTGAGTCTTCTGCAGTGATCTGTGGGCTCCACTTTGCAAATCTGACCAGTTTTAGAGCGGTTCTCTCAGACATTTTTCTGGGTCTTCCAGATCTTGCCTTGAACTCAACAGTTCTCTTCTTAATGATTTTTCTGATAGTTGAAATTGCAAAATGGAAGCATTGAGACCTTTTTATAGCCCTTCCCCTGCTTTGTAAGAGTGAATTATCTTTACTTTCAAGTCCTCAGTCAGCTGCTTAGAGGAGCCCATGGTTTTTGAAAGCAGGCAAAACAACCATCCCAACCTGAGAGTTTAGAAAGCTCAGAGTATATGTTCAATTAAGACCTTTTGAGTCAACTGAGTTTGGGTGTCTGAAAACAAATTAAAAAGTAGTAACAAATTAACTGGAAGTGTGCCAAGACTTTTGTACACATTCATTTATTTTGTTAAATCTGTTAAAATCAGCAAATAAATACTAACTGCAGGTTTGCAAAATTTGCAAAAAGATGTCATGTTTACGTTTGTACCACACAGAGGTATGTCAACTTCTTTTCACTTAGAGATTCACTGAAACAATTTGCCTAAACTTTTGCACAAAACTGTAGTATATAGTACTCATTAAATTAATACAATAGTAACCCCTCTATGTAACAGACTTTGCTTTAATGGACTTCAGATTTAACAGACAAAAACCTGCTCAGCAATGCTGTCTATAACATCAGAAATACTGGAGTTTCCTCCTCTATGATGGGGGTAATGCAAAAATAATAAAACAAATAAAAAATAAATACTACACATGTTTAAATTCAGGATTAGCAAAGGGACAGATCACCTGCTTACGATGGGTGCTGATTCTGTTCCATATGCTTCAGCAAAGTCTATACAGTATATTTGCAACGTGAAAAAACATGTCTAATTATGACCAAAAAAGGCACAGGAACACTTTTCCTTGGCTGTGTTGATTGTAATTGTTAAAAAAAGTAAAAGATCCAGAGAGCACATACTTTGTGTCTATATATATATATATTTCTCATATAATTTTTGGCTGAAAATAATGGATACCCATTCCACCCTATCAGTCTGTTCAACCAAGATTTTGCTGGAATATCTTCCAATTTGTCTAATACATTTAATCTCAGAAAGTATTCATTCTAGCCTTAAAAAATGTTTTGACTTTTTCCTCAACATTCAGAGAACATACACTGCACTGTTGCTCCTGGTACCCCTGTTTCTTGTGTTGGCTCAAATTGTACGTTTTTCCATTTCTGGGACTTTAAGTGTTTAACACCAAATCACCACATGTTATGAACCCCAGAACAGTTTTGACCATTTCTGTTCAGGATACTGGAGTACTGAATGACCCTTTGCAGCACTGTTATTTCTAGGTCAAGATTTTGATAAGGAAGTTCACAGGTGCTGTGGCTGGTCTGCAGGGGAGCAAAAAAAAAGTGCATGTTTACTCTGCTAGTACTTTTCTGTGATTGAATTCCTTGAGTTTCTACAACTGCCAAAGTGATGGATTCAGAGGTTCTTATACACATACAGTACATACACCCATAGATATGTACTGAAGTCTTACTGATAATGAATGAAAAATGCCAGAATGTAATCTAGCAACCAGAATGTTTTATGTTGCTTGTGCATGCGTCTCCCCCTGTCAAAAGGTTCCAATACACATGGGCCAATAGAAATTCCATTGCGTAACCTAAAGTTTCCCCAAATATTTCATCAGTAAATTGGATTTGTCATCATTAAATTGGTAGCACACATTTCTGTTCATCATCAACAAGGCACTATAATCGTCTTGCTTTTTACAAAAAATCACCAAGATACTTGAACAGAGAAAAGAAAAACAGGTTCAAGTCATTTTAAGTTAAGAGAAATGTTTGTACTGTATAACAAAACTGTACAATTTGCAAAACAGAAGCACAGGAGTCTCACAATGCTTGGGGAACTTGCAA